CACCTGCCGTGGACCAGGCTCTCGACTCTGGAGTCCTGCGCGGCCAAGCCGGTGCTCCCGGTGGCGCCGATGGGGGCGCGGTTAGAGCGGCGGCGGCTGGGACCCGCCGGCGGTGCGCGGGCCAGGCGCGCCCTCTAGCGGCCTCCTGCTGCACCACCGTCTTCTTCCGCGGCCCGGCGGCGACTCCACCTTCCAAAGGCTGAAATTCGTCGCTCTCCGTCATCCTCCCCCTTGGCTTCCACTGTGGCTGCGCGCCCCGCCCTGGTTGCCATGGCGACGGCTCGACCACAGTTTCCTCTTTGCCCTACCTACCACCGGGTCCTAGGCCTGGCCCTGCCACCGGGTCCTAGGCCTGGCCCTGCCCGCGGGCCGAACGACCACCTACAACGGAGCCCGCCGGGCGGCCCTGAAGAGCAGGCCTCAGGAATGCTGGCCGTGGGGAGAGTGAAGTTCTTTGGGCATCACCGAGGGGAGGTGAGGGCCCTGCCGGCTCTGCACTCCTGGCCTGCGGTCTTCTGTGGCTCTCTGTAGTGTATGTAGTGTGTGTGTGTGTCCAGAACGGGCTCTTTTTCTTTTTTGTCGGTCGTGGGGCTTGAACTCTGGTCCTCGGCGCTGTCCCTCAGCTCTTCAGCTCAAGGCAAGCGCTCTACCACTTGAGCTACGGCGCCACTTCCGGTTTTCTGGTGGTTTATTGGGAGATAGGAGTCTCACGGTTTTTCCTGCCCGGGCTGGCTTTGAACCGCGATCCTCAGATCTTAGCCTTCTGAGTAGCTAGGATTACAGGCGTGAGCCACCAGCACCCGGCTGTCCCTAAGCTTTTTCACTCAAGGTTAGCACTTTACCACTTGAACATGTCCACTTCTGGTTTCCTGGAGATAAAAGTCTCAGACTTTCCTGCCCCGGCTTGCTTAGAACCATGATGACCAGATCTCAGGCTCCTGAGTAGCTTAGATTGCCGGCGAGAGCCAATGATGCCTTGCTGGACTCTGGTTCTCACAAGGCCTTCACCTTCAGTGTTCTTGGGCTCTGGCTCCAAAAATGATAGACTCAGGGGCTAGAGCAGGTTTTGGGCTTGTATCCATTCAGCTTCTGGGTTCCAGCTCCAGGTTCAAGTTTACAAGGTTATGGAGGGTAAGTGGGCTTGGAGTCCAAGCTCCCACCTCAGACTCCTGGGCAGTGTAGGGCCTTCACAGGAGTATCTGACAGCAGAGGGGACAGGTGTCTCCTGCCGCAGAATGGGGCTACTTTTGTGCTATGCTTCCAGGTTAACTGCTCTGCCTTCTCCCCTGACCACCGGATACTACTCACAGCCTCAGAGGATGGCTGTGTCTATGGCTGGGAGACCAAGAGCAGGAGGCTGTTGTGGAAGATGGCTGACCACACAGGTGGGGCTCTGCAGTGTAACCAGGAGATGGAGGCCAAAGGGCCTGGGCTAACACTGCAGAGCTCAATTCATTGGCTTCTTATATGGAGGCAGGGCATAGAGCAAGACAGGGGCAGGGCTAGGACTTCCCCTACCAGACCTGGAGTATGAACAACTTTTACCACATTAACTGGCTTAAATATATAGTTCCATGTGATGGTAAGTGCAACTCACACTACGATTCATGTTCATGCCATAACTTTGTCTTGAAAAACAAACTAGCCAGGTACTGGGGCTCGTGCCTGTAATCCTAGTTACTCAGGAGGCTGAGATTTAGTCTGGGCAGGAGTCTGAGATTTTTGTTTGTCAGTCCTGGGGCTTGAACTAGGGCCTGGGCATTGTCCCTGAGCTTCTTTTGCCCAAGGCTAGCACTCTTAATACTTGAGCCAGTGTCACTTTCTTTGGGTACTGAGTAATGGAACCCAGGACGTCATGCATGCTAAGCCACATTCCCGGACCTTATCTCCAACTAACCACCAGAAAACCAGAAGTAGCACTGTGGCTGAAGTGGTAGAGCGCTGGTCTTGAGCAAAAAGAGCTCAGGGACAGTGCTCAGGCCCTGAGTTCAAACCCCACAACCTATAAAACCAACAACACCCCCCCCCAAAAAAAAAACCACAGAAAAACTATGCCTTTCAACAGCTTGTTCTCCTTCCTTCCATTCTGGGGGTCACGGTTCAAAACCAGATTCCTGTCTCCAATTAAACACCAAGAAGGTGGGGAGTAGAGCTGTGGCTCAAGTGGTCGAGTACTAGCCTTGAGCAAAAACTTCAGGGATAGCACTCAAACCTGAAGTTTAATACCTAGAGGAATGGTACAAAAAGACCCAGGGAAGATTGAGTGCAGGACAACCAAGGTACGCTGTGGAGAGGCCAGGTCCAGGCTGAGGAGCCCGAAAGCAGTAAACTCAGGCTAGGCTAAGTTGCTTCTGGAAAGAACTGCCTGCATTTGATTTGGGCAAATTGGATTGGGGGTTGTCTGCTTTTGGGAGGGGTGAAGGGCGATGTGCTACAGCGGTGGGCAAGGGGTGGGCTCAAGCACAGGAGGGGAGGGCAGTTGTTTCCCTGCTCCAGGCCCAGTGAAGTTCTGCCGCTTCTCCCCGGATGGCCATCTCTTTGCCAGCTCCTCCAGAGACTGCACCATCCGCCTGTGGGATGTGGCCAGCGCCAAGTGTGTGCAGGTGCTGAGAGGTGAGTGGACAATGCAGGCCTGGGAGCCCCAGCCAGGACAGGGCTCCTTTGTGGACTTAGCATGTTGTGACACATGCCTGCCCTGGGCTGGGTCTGCAGGTCACCAGCGGAGCGTGGAAACTGTGAGCTTCAGCCCTGACTCAAGGCTGCTGGCATCGGGTGGCTGGGACAAGCGGGTGATGCTCTCTGAGGTGCAGGTATGTGCAGAGCTGAGGCCTGGCAGAGGGCTTTGTCCACTTCCACACCTCTCGTGCAGTGGTCCCCCAAGGCTCATACCCACTCCCCAGACTCACATCTACCTCCAGGCCTCCCCACACTGGGCTTTTGCACAGGGTTTCAGCCAGAATCCCTCTCTACTTTTATCATGGGGCCCAAGCGCTGTCCCTCCTCTCTTCAGCTCACACTCTACCACTTGAGCCATAGTGCCACTTCTGGCTTTTTGATTATGTGGTGCTGAAGAATCCAACCAGGGCCTTAAGCATGCAAAGCAAGCACTCTACCACCTAGCCACCTTTCCAACTTTTTTGTTTTGGGTCCAGTCATAGGGCCTGAACTCTGGGCCTGGGTGCTGTCCCTCAGCTCTTCAGCTCAAGGCTAGTGCTCTACCACTTGAGCCACAGCGCCACTTCAGGGTTTTTTTGCTTATGTGCTGTGGAGGAATCGAACCCAGGGCCTCATGTATGCAAGGCAAGCGCTCTACCACTGAGCCACCTTCCTAGTCCCCTTCTCTACTTTTGTATCCAGCTGTGGAGCAGCCCTGGGTTGGGCAGCATGCTGGAAAGACAGGGCCTGACCTGATTGCAGGCCCCACAACTGCCTCCCACTGCTTCCGATTTTCAGTCCGGCTGCACACTGCGCCTCTTACCTAGGCACCAGGACTGCATCCAGAGCAGTGACTTCTCCCCCAGTGCTGACTGCCTGGTGAGCCTAATTGCACCTGACCCTGCCCTGTGGCCCCAGGGAAGCCCCTCACTCATGGTCACTGCCCACCAACAGGCCACTGGCTCCTGGGACTCCAGTGTCTGCATCTGGGACCTGCGGGTGGGAACCCCAACCTTTTTTCACAAGGAGCTAGAAGGTCACCGTGGCAATGTCAGCTGCTTATGCTATTCGGCCTCTGGCCTCCTGGTAAGCTTCCTGGCTGGCCCTGCAACTTTTAACAGGATGCAGCCCATTTGGGAGCCTAGCATCCAGCCTTGACTGTCTGTACAGGCATCTGGCTCCTGGGACAAGACTATCTGCATCTGGAAGCCTGAAACTAACAGCCTGCTCCTCCACCTCAAGGGCCACTCCACCTGGGTGAAGAGCTTGGCCTTCTCTCCTGATCAGCTGCAGCTGGCCAGTGCTGGCTACTCCCGCACGGTAAGGCAATCAGGCCTGCCCCAGCCCTTCCTCACACCAAGCACCTTCTCCACATGTTCACACACCTAACCTGTCCTAACTAGAAGTGGACAAGACCAAAGTACTGCCCATTGGCTGGCACATAAGACACACTAGTCCCAACCAGTGGCTCTGCAGGTACAACTCTATTTCAGGGCTTAAACCCCATGTGCTGTTCTCCCTCTACCATGTCATGTGCCTCCAGTTCCACCTCCCCATGCCCCCAATCCTGGGGCTTGAACTCAAGGTCTGGGTGCTGTCCCTGAACTTCTTTGTGCCCAAGGCTAGCACTCTACCACTTGAGCCACAGCCACTTTCTGGCTTTGTAAGTTGTGGATCTTGAAGTCTGGGCCTGGGTACTGCCCCTGAGCTCTTCGGTTCAAGGCTCTACCACTTGAGCCACAGCACCTCACCGACTTTCCTGCCTGGGCTGGCTTTGAACCACCATGATCTTCAGATCTCAGCCTCCTGAGTAGTTAGGATTACAGGCGCGAGCCACCAGTGCCCTGCCCAACCCAGCTGTGCTTTTCCTAGCTTGTCAGGGATGACTTTAAACCACAATCCTCCAGATCTCAGCCTAAGTAGAAAGGCGTGGGCGTTTTCATTTTTACTTCCAGGTAAAAGTCTGGGACCTCAAGACTGGAAAGCTCCTTGAGAGCCTGAAGGTAAGGCTGTGTTTATAGCACCTGAGGGACCAGCAAAACTCTGACCCTACAAGGGACCTGGCGGGCAAGTAGGAATTGAAAACTCAGAGCTTGATACTGTTTCTAGCAAGGATCCCTGGATGTGGCCCATTCCTGTGTTTTCACCCCCGACGGGAAACTCTTTGTGTCTGGAACTGCTGCTAACATATGACAAGTCCACTGCTTAAGTCACCCAGTCCTGCCAAGAGCACACCGGCAGGATAGCTCTGTACCATAGGCTCAAGGACACTGAATACAATGAGACCCCCATGGCCAATGGCAGGAGCCCACCCCACACCCTGTCATTCAGCAAGTACAGAGGAACACCTGCCAGGTTTTCATTTTATTGTTGTGGCGTCGTTCTCAGGCCTTGACCGCATACTTGCGCAGAGGGTACAGCCGCTCTTTCCGCTGCTGCTTCTTGGTCTTCAGCTTCTCCTCATGCTTGGTGAGCCGCCGGCGCAGTGCTCGAGTCTTCTTAGGCCGCAGGTCCAGGGGCTTGTACTTCTTGCCCTGTGATATAGACAGAAGAATGAAGGAATCTGAGCACCAAAATAGGGTCAGGATGCTTGAGTGCACAGGGGGCTGGGAGGCTGAACTGCTGTGAGGTGTATGTGACATTGAGTACTCAGCAGGGTGCCCCCAACCAGGGCCAGGAGGTCAAAGGGCTCCATGCTCCCTCACTTGTTCTGTAATACTCCTTCACAAGGCTATACAGGAGAGCAGAGGAAGGTGCAAACAAGCCCTTGCAGACACAGGTACTGAGCCCTAACCTGATAGTCTCACATATCTTTGTCCACCCCACTCCCGCCTCCAAGCACAAGGCCTTGTTCTGGGTGCTGGTGCTACGATGAAAGCAGACTTAATCAAGACTGAACACAGAACCAGGACTGGAGCAGGGAGAGGGAGCCACCTACAGCAAGTACCCTGGCTACAGCTACAGAGCAGAGCACAAACAGCAGCGAGTGTAGGGTGAGGGCAAGCCTAACACACCTAGAACACTGCTGTCCAAACAGCAGCCACTAGGCACACAAACCTTCATGGAGGATTTTCACTAACACCCCAGTTCTCCCTGGGGTGACAGAGCTCAGTGGTAGAGTACTTGCCTAGCACACATGAGGCCCTGCGTTTTTGCTCCATCCAAATTAACTTTAGTTCCTCAGTCACCATAGCCACCTTTAGCATGAAACAGGCACACATGGGCAGGGTTTTGGTGTGACGTAAGACATTTTCACTATAGAAAGTTCCACCTCCTTGACTGCCACACTGTCTCTGATGGTTCCCTCAGAGCCTAAGGAAAGCTCCTAGATGTATTCTCTTACATGAATGTATATACACATTGCAGGTGGCAGCAGCCTAGCCACATTATAGCTTTGGTAGGGCCAACCAACACCAATTTAGGTAGTTTGCAGAAGTAATCAAAGCCCCTCATTACTTCAATTAAAGGAGATTATCCTGGATAATCAACAGAAAGAAAAGGCCTTTGGTTCCCTCTCCAACTATCCTGGGCTGGGGGGGTGTCTTCTACCTGTGCCACAAGCTCTACTCAAGTTTCAGCCATGTGATTCAATTCCTACCAGTAAAGCAAGTGTTCAAAATGCGTGTGAACAGTCTTCTGCTGTTGTTGGAATATTGACAGCACAGACATAAAGAGCAAGATCACAAAGTGCTTGCCAAAATTCCAGGCTGAGGAATCCAGATGCCTGGAGAAATCTCCCAGAACACCCAGCCAACTCTGTGGTGACTGTAGGTGACCCAGGAAAACCTCATTTCTAAACCTTTAGACTTATTTCGTCTGGAAAGTAAGAAATGACATATATTTAGCAAAATAGTTCCATGGTAAAGTGCTCATCTAGTGTGTACAAGGCCTGGGATCTGATCTTCAGCACCCCAAGACAACACAGAGCCACTCCAAATTCACCCAGAAAAGCTGGGTTTAAAGACAAGTCTTAACCAGGGATCACTGGCTCACACCTGTAATACTAGCTACTCAGGAGGCAGTTCAAAGCCAACCTGGGCAGGAAAGTCCATGAGACTCTTTCTCCAATTAACCACCAGAAAACTGGAAGTGAAGCTGAGGCTCAAGTGGTAGAGCGCTCGCCTTGAGCTGAAATACTGAGGGGCAGCGCCCAGGCCAGGAGTTCAAGCCCCAGGACAAAAATAAATAAAACACAAGTGTTGCTATGCACTGACAACTCACGGCTATAATCTGAGGACTGTGGTTCAAAGCCAGCCTAGGCAGCTTCTTATCTCCAATCAACTACCAAAAAGCCCTGGGACAGCATCCAATTCCCAGTACAAATACACACACACATGCATTCTCTCCAGGCAGGCAAAATTCCAGTGCAGGATTGCTTGTTAAGAGGACTAGAATTTGCTTTCAGAAGCCAACACCCGCAGTTCCCTCACCTTGTAGAATTTCCTGAGGTTTTCTTTCTGAGTCTGGTTAATGACGGTGAGAACACGGGCGATGGATTTACGGACAACTCGGCTACAAAACAGAGACGTCAGTGAGGATGGGTAGAAACACAATGTTCCCTGAGGTTGGTCCTTCAGAGCTAGCAATGATGGGGCAGAGCATTGGTTCCAGAGGTGAGAACAAGCATGCTAGCAGGTGTCCTGTGCAACTTCCCAATGAACCCCACGGTTAGTATCAAAGACCTGAAGACTAACCCAAGCCAATCTGAAGGGGAGGGTATGTAAATTTGTAGTCCAGGCCAACTGGGGCCAGTCTGACGATCACACTTACTCAGTCCAGTGAATATGAAGTTTGCTTTGTTTTTAAAAAGTGAGAAAATGGGGGTGGGAAGGAGGCTCAGTGGTAGAGTGCTTGCCTTGCATACATGAGGCCCTGGGTTCGATTCCTCAGCACCATATAAGTAGAAAAAAGCCAGAAGTGGTGAGGCAGCTCAAGTGGTAGAGCACTAGCCTTGAGCTGAAGAGCTCAAGGACAGCGCCCAAGCCCAGAGTTCAGGCCCCAAGACCACCACCACCAGCAACAAAAATAAAAGTGAGAAAATGCCAACTATACCCGCAGTCCTAGTCACTCAGGAGGCTAAGATCTGAGGATTATGGTTCAAAGCCTGTGTGAGCTGTAAAGTCTGTGAGACATCTCCAATGAACCATCAAAAAGCAGAAGTGGGGGCTGGGAACGTGGCTGAGTGGTAGACTGCTTGCACAGCATGCACAAAACCCTGGGTTCGATTCCTCAGTACCACATACACAGAAAAAGCCGGAAGTAGAGCTATGGCTCAAGTGGTAGAGTGCTAATCTTGAGCAAAAGAAGCTCAGGGACAGTGCTCAGGCACTGAGTTCAACGCCAGGACTAGTCCCTACCCCCAAAAAAGCCGGAAGCAGAGGCGTGGCTCATGTGGTAGAGTGCCAGCCTTGAGCAGCTACCAGTCCATTAAGTACTTGTTTAAAAACAAACAAAAAAACAACACGAGAAAGAGAAGTGGAACTTGCACCCGAGAAACTGGGCCCCCGTGTGCCACGGGTGCGCAAGCAGGCCCCTGAACGCCCGTCAGACCTGCAGTCGCTCCCCAGGCCCGCGCGCCGCTCCGCGCCGGTCCCTTACATTTTGGAGAGTTTGGACGCCGCGCCACCAGTCACTTTGGCGACGCGCAGCTGGGACAGCTCCACCTTCAGGTCGTCCAGCTGCTTCAGCAGCTCCTCTTTCTTTTTGCCGCGCAGATCCCGAGCTTTAATCTTAGCCTGCGCGGAAAAGGTCCGAGTGTCAGTCACCCCGCGAGACCTCTTGGTCCCTCAGGCGCCGCGGCCGGCACAGTCCCGGCCGGCTCCCTGGCAGGGCCGCCACCCCGCTCAGCACACGGGAAGCTTCAAGGGCCGGGCGCGCGCGTCTCCGCGGCCCGAACCCGGGGCCCGGCCGTCCTCAGCTGCACCTCACAGACCGACGAGACAGGCAGACGAGACCCCCCAAGTTCAGCCCGCGGCCCCCACCCACTCCCGTGACTCAGCGGCCCCCGGATGGCGACGGATCCCTTTGCCCTCACCATAACTGCGAGAAGCTGCCGCGGCCGTCGCCTCGTCGGAGGAAAAGAGGAAGAGGCGGGAGTGAGCTCCGCAACTACTGCCGGGTGGCGGTGTACGTAACCAATGGCGTCGCACCTGGGGATTCTAGTCCCGCCCTCTTCCTTCCGGAGAGCGGCGGTTCATCCCGCCCCGCCTCTATCGCGAGCATTTCACAGCTTAGCCTTTGTGCCCGAGACAGCACCCTTAGGGAAATCGAGTCCTGGAGTGAGCAGCTAGTAGTCGGAAATGGAGTAGTTAGGGCTTAAATGTGACTATTCAGTCGTCTGTTGATTTCATTCATTCGGGCAGCTTAGCAGATTACCCAGCCTGTCTCTGAGCTGGAGGCTGGAGCCAGGGGCATAAGTGGGAGGGTTTTGATTTTAGACTGGTGGTGCTGGCTTCCAACACGCGATCCTCCTGCCTCAGCTGCTCCCGTGCTGGGATTACAGGGTAAACCACCACACTCCATAGGAAAGAAGGTTTGGGGTAGGACGGAGTTTGGATTCTAGAATTTTCTGGTGGAGGCAGCTTGGCCTAGACTTCTTTTTTGGTGCTACTTGGGATTGATCTGGGCCTCACAATTGCTAAACTGACACTCTATGGGTAAGCCGAACCTTCTGCCCTTTTATGAGCTGGTTTTTTGTTTGTTCGGTCGTGGGGCTTCAACTCTAGGCTTGGGTGCTGTCCCTGAGCTCTTCAGCTCAAGGCTAGCGCTCTACCACTTGAGCCACAGTGCCGCTTCTGGCCTTTTCTGTTTGTGTGGTGCTGAGGAGTAGAATCCAGGGCCTCATGCATGCGGGGCAAGCACTCTTCCACTGACTCACCTTCCCAGCCCCGAGCTGGTTATTTTTGAAAAAGGGCTTCACTTCTGCCGCAGACCATAATCCTAGAATGAGCCGCCCATGCCACCACACCATGTATTTCCTGTTGGGATGGTTTCATGGATTCCTTTGTCCAGTTTGACTTGGAAATTAAGTCTTCCTCATCTCAGCTCCCACTAGCTAGAATATGCCATTGGTTGAGCAGAGGTCCTACCACACCCCTTCCACCCAAATTGCCGTTCTCCTGACCTCAGCCTCCCAAGAAGCTAGGATTACAAATGTATGCCATTGGTGATATATATTTTAGCAAAACCATGGGGATTCAAATTCTAGCTGTTACCAGGTAATACTCGATACTCTTGGCAAATCCCTTTCCCTCTCTTGAGTCAGTTTTCTCATTAGCAAAATGATATACTTATGAGGATTAGAGAAGATACAGATAAAGCTCTCAGTCCAAGACTGATGCATAATAGAGTGCCACCCCTCATCCTTCCAATTCCCCAGTAAACCTATGTCTAACTCAGAGTAGCACAGATTCAGCTGCCCAAATGAATGAAAAAAAATGGCTGAATGGCCAAAATTGAGCTATAGCACACTTGCCATCTCTAGGAAGCTGCTACCACCTCTGGTCTCAGTGTCCCCACCTGTGCCACTCAGGACCTAATGCCAGTCCAGAGAGTGGAACAAAAACTTCAATTAATCAAAGCCCAGAAAGTGTTTACGCTTTACTGTTTGGGCAGTTTCACTCTCACTCCAACTAGCACATGTTAACCAGTATTCTGGTGTCACTCCATTGCCACCAACATGTCACTTCTTAGAGCTCTAGGTTGTCTTGCTGCTGTCATGTGTCACCTCCAGGGAGACTACTTCTCCTAAGGGAAGCAACTTCCTCATGTGTCCTGAAATCTCTGAGTCCCAGACATCTGAATTAAATGATGTGTTTATGGTGTCTGTCTCCACAGCCAACCTGGAGATTTCCTAGCAGGAGAAACACCTAATTGTGGTCTCCAGGCCAGCTGGTGGATACTTGTTGCATGGATTCATGAGCCTTATTCCAAGCCACATGGAGGCAGGATTTCAGGAGGTGAAGGGTCGTGGGGAAAAGAACAAAGAACATTTTTTACATGGATTAGTTTTAAATAGAAGGCTAACAGTATACAGGGTCTTTGCTATCTACTTTCCAGTTCTAGTAGACTTTTTATTTATGCTGGTCCTGGGCCTTGAACTCAGGGCTTGGGCACTATACTTTCTTTTTTTGTTGTTCAAGGATAACACTCTACTACTTGAGCCACAACTCTACTTCTGGCTTTTTACTTGTTAAGTGGAGATAAGAGTATCATGGACTTTCCTGCCTGGGCTGGTTTTGAACCGTGATCCTCAAATCTCAACCTCCTGAGCAGGCATGAGCCTTCATTGCCCAGCCAATTATTATTTTTGTGGTGGTGGGATTGAACCCAGGCCTCCAGCATGCTAGGCAAACACTCTATCATTGAGCTACAAGGCCAACTGAATGTCTTTGTCATCTGTGACCCCCATTTCTCTTACACGCCACATCTAACCTATCAGCAAGTCTTGTGGGTTCTGCTTTCAGAATATTCTCCCACCTTTTTTGGGCATAATCTTGGCCTGATATCCTGTCACCTCCTAAATAAGCTCTGATTGTTTTCAATATAGCTGCTAGATTCCCTTTTCAAACTTGCCAGAACTTAGATCATGTTACTGCTCTGCTTGGAATTACCAGGGCTTTTCTGTTACTACCCTTACCTTGTGTCTAAGAAAATCAGACACTGGGTGATTTTCTCCTCATCATTCAAGTCACCCAGACACAGTATAATAAGGATTTTTTTCTTTGTTGAAACAATTGGTCTCACTATGTAGCCCACACTGACCTTGAACTTGAGAACCAGCTGTGGCTCAAGTGGTAGAGTGCTAGCCTAGAACAAAAGAAGCTCAGGGACAGCGCCCAGGCCCTGAGTACTAGCGCCAGGACTGACCCCCCCCCCCAAAAAAAAAGAAGTATTATCATATGGGAATGTAATGGAAATCACAGTCTATTTGAAAAGGCCCATTTTAGCCTAAAGCTAAGGGTTAAAGTCCCTAAAACTAATTCCCAGCATCCTAATCATCCTGGACGGTGGGCTAACTTCTCCACCAATTGATCTGGCAATTCTTCTAAGATATCTCTGGCACACGGAGATTGCTCAGCACAAGGGCCTTGCTTGGCCGACTTCACGCCAGCATGGTGGACACAAACATCCTCTCCTCGTCCCTCATCCTCAGAGGTCTCCACACCTTCAAGTTAAAACGCTTTCAGCGTTTTGTCGCTCCTTGGAAGCACTTCAAACGTCTTTGGAGCCTGCTATTTAACCACAGGGTCACGTCTACGAGCAAGGCACAGCCACGCTCTGTGCAGCGGTGCTGTTCAAGGCTCCAGGGCTCAGGCCTCCTGCTCACGTCGCAGCACGGCGTCGGAAGACCTTCTCAGACCTCAGTCGGAAGGTTTGTGCTTCGGGAAGCCTGTCTGGCCTTTTCTTGGGGTCCGAGGGTCTACTCGGTCTGGGTCGGGCACAACCAGAGCTATCGACCGGGGGCTCGTCTGAGGCAGGAGGGAGTTGGAGAACGAGGTCAATTATAGCGGGCCTGCTCAGCTCGCCACGGTGCAAGACGTGAGGCGCCAGAAGACAGAACGCGCTGACAGGGAGGATAGCACCCCAACTCTCCAGGTCTCCCGGCCCGCCCCTCCTGGACCCGCCCTCGGCTTCCGGTTCCGGCGTGAAGCGGAAGTGGGTGGGCGTCGGCGGCTGCGCGCGGAGGAGGTGCCGGGTCGCCGCTTCCCGCCCCCGAGCCGGAGCCGGAGCCGGAGCCGGAGCCCGGGCCGGTGCTGAGCCGAGCGGAGCGGAGGTCGAGCGCGGAGCGGAGCCGGCTGAGCGCAGCCGGCTGAGCGGGCGCCGAGCTCCCGCCATGGCCCGGAACACGCTGTCCTCGCGCTTCCGCCGAGTGGACATCGATGAGTTTGACGAGAACAAATTCGTGGACGAGCAGGAGGAGGCGGCGGCGGCGGCGGCGGGCGAGCCGGGCCCGGACCCCGGCGAGGTGGACGGACTCCTGCGGCAATATCCTTCCCGGCGCGCGCCCGGCCCGGGACTCGGCCCGGGCCTTTCCTCCCCACCTCGCTTCCTGTGGCCCGGCGTCCTCCTTCCCCGCGGGCCGGTGGCCCAGCCGCCTTCCGACCCGCTGCTTCCCGGGCTTTGTCCTCTCCGTCCGGGGCTCCCGGCGTCTTCCTCCCCAGGGATGCGGTCTCCCTAGGTCCGGACCCCGGGGCGCCGGCTCCCCGGGCGACCCAGCGGGCCTCTCACCTCCCCCCTCGCGTCCGACTCCCTCCTCGCGGAGCGCAGGGCCATCACCGGGTGGCTCTCGGGAGGGGCCGAGGTGAGCTGCGGCGGAGTCAGTGAGCGGCGAGGGTGGCCGGGGGTGGGGGTGAGGGCGCACGGTCCTCCTGGGCCGCCCCACTGCCTTGCTTGGGCCCCATTACAGCCGAACTTGAAAAATAGGTGGCTGGCTGCGGGGAAGAAAGGGTGGGAAGTGCTGGTGAAGGGCAGCGTGAGATCTGAACTTGAGCAGTGATGACTCCAGAGTCAGCTAATCCCACCTTTCCAAACCCATTCCCATTCTCTGTGCACCTTGGATTTGGATGGGATCAGCCACACTCAACAAGTGAGTGGTGGCTCCCTCAGAAACCTGGTGCGGGAAGCAGTGGGAAAAACTGGTCGTTTAGAGCTAAGAAAAGCCTTTGAATGTAAAGTGAAGTATAAAAGTAGAGCCCCACGACTGGAAATGACTGTTCCTGTGGCCACAGAACTTAGACATGTAGAACAGAAGAATAAAAATAGAGGCGATTGTCCCCAGCGCCTGTGGTCCCCTAGCAGTTTGAGCAAAGGAAACTGCCTTACTCTCACAGGAAGACTTTTTCTTTATTCAAATGGTGTGACAGGAAGTGTGTACCCCTCCCCCGCACTCAGCAGGGCAGGGTTGGAGGCTCCTGCTGTATATAAATCAGGTTCTGGGTGTTTAATGGGTTGACTCAGCTCGGGAAATCAGGCCCACTGCTTTTGGGAGGAGACCTGCCCTGTTCTTTCAATACGCCTTTAAAACAAAAGCCTTCAGACTACTGGAATGCGTTTTCAAAGGTGGAGGTTCACACTTGTATTTCCTGCCCCATCCAGATTTCCCACTTACCATGAGAAGGGGTCATGAGAAAGGCTCCATG